GATAGATAGATAGAGAGAGAGAGAGAGAGATAGATAGAGAGAGAGAGAGAGAGAGAGAGAGAGAGAGAGAGAGAGAGAGAGAGAGAGAGAGAGATAGATAGATAGAGAGAGAGAGAGAGAGAGAGAGAGAGAGAGAGAGAGAGAGAGGATAGATAGTTAGAGAGAGAGAGAGAGAGAGAGAGAGCTAGAGAGAGAGAGAGATTGATAGAGAGACGTATAAAGAGAGAGAGAGAGAGAGAGTTACTGATAGATAGAGAGTTACTGATAGATAGTTAGAGAGAGAGTGAGAGCTACTGACAGATAGTTAGAGAGAGACTGATAGATAGAAAGAGAGAGAGAGAGAGAGAGAGAGGATCGGTAGTCTAATAGCCGTTACTGATTTAATGGTTACACACATACATACATAATAATAATACTACTAATAATGATAGTCTAATCAATTGATTAATTGTTTGTTTGTTTTTTGTTGTCTTATATATATATATAGGAATCTTCAGGCGGCCATCGGCTCGTACTTTGACTACGAACAGCCCGCCCATAGACTGCCGGCCATGAAACTGGTCAGCGATGTTACCGTGGGCGAGGGAGAGGAGGTACCGCCCAATTCAAGGTTTACGAAAACCTGGAGGATAGCCAACTCTGGTATGTCGGGTGTGTGTGTGTGTGTGGGGAATGGGTTGTGTAGACAACCCGAACACTAGGATAGGATGATATGACCATAGCTTTTACGGTCGATATAGATATCAATGTCTCTAACTCCATGTCCTCTCACTCACTATCTCTCTCTCTCTCTCTCTCTCTCTCTCTCTCTCTCTCTCTCTCTCTCTCTCTCTCTCTCTCTAACTATTAAAATAATATTACATTAATTTAATTGATTGATTAAATACTATTATTAATAGTTATTTAGCTCTCTCTCTCTCTTAAAATATTACATTATTTTAATTGTTTTGATTAAATACTATTACTTATATTAAAAGTTATTTAGCTTTCTATCTATCTATCTATCTCTCTAACTGTCTACATATATCACACAATTTAATGATATAATTATATATAAGATAATAGTTATTATTATTAGTTTATAATAATAGTAGTAATAATAATAATAACAACATATATAACTATATAAAAAAAATTAACTAATTATTATTATTATTATTAYTATTATTATTTTTTTAGGTGAGGACCAGTGGCCGACCGGTTGTTGTCTACGATTTACCGACGGCGATCAAATGTGTCACAGCGAACGTGTACTAATTGATCCCCTAGCACCGGGCGATTGTACCGATATTAATGTCGATATGATTAGCCCACAGAAATCGGGTACCTATACTGGCCAGTGGCGTATGAGTACGCCTACGGGRCAATTTTTCGGAGGTATACATATATATATATATATACTATACTATACATACCGTTCCCTTTTTACTAAATACTATTTTTTTTATTGATTGCTTATATATATATAGAGATAATTTGGGTGATAATCAGTGTCTCGGAGGGCGGCCTACTGGCCGTTACCCAACAGATGAACCGTTTCAATGAGTTGGGCGCCACTGCCGGCGGCGCTTCTTCATCGTCGTCGTCATCATCGCCTCCATTGCCGTGTTTTGCCTCTACGGTCGGCGCCGGCGGTAGTATAGGTATTGGCAACCCGTTTGGCGGTCAACATCAACAACATCATAGCACTGCACTAATGCCGGTGCCGTCGGCAGCGGCTATGGGTAGTAGTAATACAACTATAAGTCAACAACAAATGTCACTACACTTACCATTTGCTAACAGTTTAACACATTTTACGACAACGTCGACGACAACTAATTATAATATAATAATAATAATAATAATAATAATAATAATAATAAYAATAATAATAATCAAATTASTGACGAATCGATGCCAAACAGTGACGGCAATGATGGCTGGGGTTAACACACATATATACACACACASACACTGTTCCCTSTCCCTCCCCCCCCYTTAAGCACCGGTAGGTCAACAACAAMAYAACAATTATATTTTGTGGACAATTAAAAACTAAATGCCATTACMGCCGCCAGTGCCTACTATTACTACTACTACTACTAATAATAATAWTATAATATATAATATTTTTTTTATTAATGATTAACCATTATTATTATTATTATTATTACATACGACTGTCCTCTTTATAATACCCCCAACCTCCCACCCCACTAACCCTAACCCCACAAAAARACCACTCATTAATATATCGACACATTTTTTTGGGGGTCAATACATAGAGAGAGAGAGAGAGAGAGAGAGATATTAGAGTTTTTAATTATATTATAATATTATTAAAGCAAACAAACAAACAAAAAGTTTTTATATATATATATATATATTAAAAGTGTTATATTATTATTATWATTAATTAATTAATTAATATTATTGATAATATTATTATATGAATAATTWTTTWAAAAAAAAAAATTTGTTTATTATTATTATTATTAATTAATTGATATMAAAAGTTATATATTTATATATTTTATATATGATATATAAATTATATATATATATATATAATTGATTGACTTATTATTATTATTATGATTATTATTGATGATTGGCTCAGATTTTTTTAAAACAAACAAAAATTTTATTATTATTATTTTTAATAATAATATTTTGATTTGAATTTSAATTATCATTTCCTGTAAAATAAAATAATAAAAAATGTTTTTTCTGTTTTTTTTTTTGATAAAATATATTTTATTGATTATACAATATTATATTTATAACTTATATTTTGATGAATTGTTTTTTTGTGTGTTATTATTATTATATATAATTAATTATAACTATTTTGAAATTAATTATTTTTTTTAAAAAAAGAGCAATCAAACAAAAATAAAATTTGTGAAATTTTTTTATTAAAAAAATAAAAAATAATATTATTTTTTAGATTATATAACTAACTGATTGAATAGTTTAATAAATGTTTTGACAACTATTTATTGATAATAATAATAATAATTAAAATGTGAGTTTTTCAATTGTAATTAAATTGTTTTCAACAAAATTGATAATAAAAATTTTTGTTTAATTTTTTAAATTTGTTGTTRTTGTTTTWTGTATATATAATAATTATTTATTTATAAAATTTTGGAAAATTATTATTATTATTTATGTATAACTTGTTTTTTGTTTGTTGTGAATAAAATACAAAAAAAAATTTAATAATAATATTAATTGCTATATATTATCGATTGATTTATTATTTATTGATGTTTATAATAATAATTATTTAWTTTTTTTGTTGTTATGTGGAAAACACTTATTAAAATTTATTAATAATTTTTTGTTGTTGAATATTAAACTATWTTTCAGGTAAACAAAAATATTTCAATTATTATATTTTATTAGATAATAATAATAATAGTAAACAATTTATTTAAAAACATTTATTTAAGATATACTGTATTATAATAATATAWTATATTGTGGTATTAAAAAAATAAAAAAAATAAAATGTCATAATAAAATAAATGAGACAAAAATTTATGCAAAAATAAATATGTCTTTAATTTTTTTGTGAATAAAATTTATATAAAAAATGTTTTTTTTGTTGAGTGAACTAAATAGGCATTCATTTGTGTTAATAATTTTACATAAAATTATTAAATATAAATAAATGTATTTAAAAAAAAACTTATGTATATATATKTGTTGACAATGATTTTCAYAATAAATTAAAGGGACAATAATTATATTATTTTTTATATATATATATAATTTTTATTATTTTGATGGATTTATTTTTAATAATAATAATATAAACATAATAAATAAAACCCTTTAAATCCTTAAAATGGTTATAAAATATTTTTTTAAAAATATTTTATATTAATAATATAATTTAGTACACAATAGAAAACAATTTTATAAATTTTTCTAAATTTTTAATAACCAGAAAAAAATTATTTATAAATAAAATATTTTTTTGAATAAAGTTATGAATAGATAATAATAATTATTATTATTTTTAATTCACATTTTYATTAAGTATTTATAACACACACAAAAAAATTGTGTCTTTCTTTGACTTTGTTTAGATAGATATTACTGTATATAATGTTTATTATTATTATTATTAATACTATAATAATWWTAATTATTATGATTTAGTAAATGATTTTATTATTATTATATATTTTTTTGTTGTACTTTCATTCAATGAATGAATCAATTGTTTTATTTATTATTTTATTTATTTTTTTTTTGAATAATGAAAGAGAAAAATAGTTTTTTGTTTCATTCATTCATTCAAAAATAATAATAAAATATTTTACTTATATATTCARTGAAGTCAATGATTATTATTATAATTATAATTATATTTGATATTCAAAGGTATTTTTTAATTATAGTTATTATAAATTTAATATATATATATATATATATATTAAACAGATGGTGACATATATCACATATAAATTTTTTATCTATTGTTTAGTATATAATATATTTTAGTATCACTTAAATAATAATCTTWTTATTTTCAACAACAAAAAAATTCTAAACTAATTTTAAATTATGATTTATGATATATCAATGAATTTTATTTTTTTTTAAAAAATAATATAACAATTAGTGATTTAATTGTTTTATATATTGTCAAAAAAATTGTATTAATTATTTCATAGATCAAGTTTACTGTATAATAATAATAATAATAATWATTATTATTATTATTATTTAATTTTTATTGTTGTCATTTAAGTTACTAAATAACTAAATAAAGAAAATTTAAATAATAATAATAGACTATAAAAATTTTYAAACTATTATATWAAACATATGACACTTATATTAGTATTACATAACTTTTTTGTATTCATTACTATATATATATARTAATTATTATTATTATTWTCTCATAACATTGCATAACAATTTAATATATATATATTGAATAAACTATTATTATTATTATWATTTTTTTTTTCAAAAWAAAAGTTTAAATATTTGTTATTCAAAGTTTAAATACAGTATATTATACTTTAGTATTTTTWAATAGTAAATATAAATATAATAATAATAATTAGAAAATAATTAAATTATTWAAAATTAATTATAACTTAAAAACAAAWCAATATTAGTTATTTATAATGTGTAATATAAATCATTAAACATATTATAATTATTAATATTTTTAATTTAATTATTAATTTTAATTATGATTAAGTAATTATTTTTAATATTATTTTTATTGATATACTATATACTATAATATGTTTTTTTAAATAAATATTTATTGGTATAATAGGTTTAAATTATTTTGTGTAATTAACTAATATTATTGTTTTTAAATAAATGTTTAATTAATTAATAAATACAGTATTATGTATTATAAATATATATAAAAAACATATATTAAACATAAATTATTATTAAATTAATATTATTACAAAAAATTTTGTATTTAATTTAAATATAAATTATATTTTATATAAWATATATTTATTTGTGATATTTATGAARTATAAGCTAAAATCTWATTTTAAMATTTSTAATAATAAATCAAATAAAATAATTATAAAACKATTACAGTTTTATCTAATTATGTTTTTTAWTGAAAATAATAATAATAATTTATGATTATTATTTTTTATAGTATTTAATAATAATAATAATAAATTATTTAATTTCTTTATACATATTATTCTCTGATATTATTAATAAATTAATAATATTTTTATTAAAATTTTTTTAATAGTTATTAGTAATCAAAATGTTTCCATAATTGTTGACAAATTCAATGTAAATATTAAGTTATGATTTTAAAAGTTTTTAATGGTATGTAAAAATTTCAATTTTATTACTTTATGTTTAATTTTTTTTAATAATACAAAAATTGTAAATGTTTAAATAATTTTGTATTACGGGAGTAGGTTCATGCTAATATTTTATTTTAACATTTCTAATAATAAATAAAATAAAATAATTACAAAATAATTACAGTTATCTATAATTATGTTTTTTTTTAAAATAATAATTTCATGATCATTATTTTTCTAGTATTTAATAATAATAATAATAATAATAATAAATTATTTAATTTTTTTCATAAATATTAATTTGATGATATTATTATAAATTAATATATTTTTTTGCTAAAAAAAATTTTAGTAGTTATTAGTTATCAATAAGTTTCCATAATTGTTGACAATTACAACATAAATGTCATATTAGTTATGATTTTAAGTTTTTTTTTAATGGTAACTAAAAGTTTTATAAAAAGTTTATTACTTTATTTAACTGTAGAAACCATATACTCAAAGTATTAAAAAATTTTAAAAAAAACGTTTATTTAATTTTTTTACTAAATAAAAATAAATTATATATATTTTAATAATTTTAATTTCGGGGTCAGTCTATGCTAATATTTTATTTTAACATTAATAATAATTATGTAATTATAATACTAATAAAACAATTACAGTTTTTCTAAATATGTTTTACATAAAATATTATATCTATTATTTATTAATAATATTTATTTAATAGATTATTACATATATATTTTTTTTATAAATATTAATCTGTGATTTATATAAAATTAATTTCTAATATTTAATAATTTTCTAAACTAATTTTTAAATTATGATTTATGAAATATCATTGAATTTTTTATATATTAATATAACAATTAGTGATTTAATTGTTTTATATACTGTCAAAAAAATTGTATTAAGTATTTCATAGATCAAGTTTACTGTATAATAATAATAATAGTATTATTATTATTTAATTTTTATTGTTGTCATTTAAGYTACTAAATAAMTAAATAAAT